GTTCGAATATATTTACATGTATATGACAATCATTTCAAAATCATGTATAATCTCATAGACACTGATTCTGCGTGCACATCTGTTGTGCAGGATTGGCTGGTGCTTAAAGACGCCAATACGCCTCCGCCGCCTCTTTTAGCAGCAGGAAACGTTAACGTGTTTGACTTGGAGGCCACATACTTCGCCACGTCTTTTGGCCTGTGGTTAGCCTGTTTGGAGAAATACGATGGTACTTAACGCGTTAAGATGCATTGTCCAGTATCTGTACTGTACATCCATTCCGTATACTCCCTTTTCACCATCGCTGTTGCAGTTGGGGCGTGTGTATGTAAATAACGTTCTCAGAGTGTCTGGTATTGCTATGCCTTGAATTGGTTCGTGCGGCTCTAACGTCTTCTAACCTATAAAGCGTATACCCGCCCCTTCGTAGTCGGTATTTAGCTGAATAGCGATGACTTATCTGAAACTCCGTCTAACACATTACAGTCTCCTCATCTGCCTCACTAACAACCAATCTCCTCTTTAATTGTCTACTATGAGCTTCTTTTTTTGTATATTGTAGTTACGTTGAATACGTCTGCTTGTTCTGCCTCACCAGTGTGTCATAGAGCATATAACCTATTCCTTTGTAACTAAGTATAGTCTGAGCGCCTGTTTACCTTCGTGCATCTCTCTAGTTGTCTACTATATACTTTGCTTTGTTTTTGTTTTGTATATTCCTCAGACTCCTACGGTCTTGTCCAGGATAGTGTAATTTTCTAATTGTCTACTATTACCATTGCTCGTCTTTTGCTTTATCTATTCTCCAGACTTCTACGGTCTTGTCCAGGATAGTGCATCTCTCTAATCATCTACTATTGACATTGCTCGTCTTTTGCTTTATTTATTCTCCAGACTCCTACGGTCTTACCCAGGGTAGTGGACTGCCCAATTCCACGTGCACTTATATCAACGGCAACTGCGAAGCCTCCGTTTTGGTGTGTTATCTTGAGTGAAGGTTGTGTATTTCAGATAGTGCTGTACTACTGGTGTGGATGTATCATTGCTCTACAACTGTTGTGGATGTATCATTGCTTTACTACTGTTGTGGATACATCATTGCTCTACTACTGTTGTGGATGTATCATTGCTTTACTGCTGTTGTGGATGTATCGTTGCTTATCTACTGCTGTGGATGTATCATTGCTTATCTACTGTTGTGGATGTATCATTGCTCTACTACTGTTGTGGATGTATCATTACTTTACTACTGTTGTGCATGTATCGTTGCTTATCTACTGTTATGGATATACCATTGCTTATCTACTGTTGCGGAAGTATCATTGCTCTACTACTGTTGTGGATCTATCATTGGTTATCTACTGTTGTGGATGTATCATTGCTTATCTATTGTTGTGCATGTATCATTGCTTTACTACTATTGTGGATCTATCATTGATTGTCTACTGTTGTGGATCTATCATTGCTCTACTACTGTTGTGGATGTATCGTTGCTTTATACTGTTGTGGATCTATCATTGGTTATCTACTGTTGTGGATCTATCATTGGTTATCTATTGTTGTGGATCTATCATTGCTTTCCTACTGTTGTGGATCTATCATTGGTTATCTACTGTTGTGGATCTATATTTGGTTATCTACTGTTGTGGATCTATCATTACTTTACTACTGTTGTGGATCTATCATTGTATATCTACTGTTGTGGATGTACCGTTGCTTATCTACTGTTGCGGATGTATCATTGCTC